CTTTGACAAAAAGAAAGGGAAATCAATACCATCTTAGCACAGACACAAAAGCTGTGGTAGTCAGTCCTTTGCAGAAGGGGACAGCCCATCAGTCTATTGAGTCACACTTTGGGTCAGCAGGATTGCTGTTTGGATCATCTTCATTCTCCTTCAAAGCTCGAAGTCATCCATTTCCTGGAACAAAGACTCATCTACCTCCTCATTGTTTCCAGTATCCTCCAAGAACTAGATAGCAGATGTGTCAAGATTATGATCTGCTTCAAATGGCCATTTCCCACTTAATTTAGTTTTTCTTTCTGGTTTCCAGGAGTTCTGCATCAAACTCAGCCTTCCAATTTAAGAAACCACCTATTGTAATAGCAGTGCCGTGGAACAACTGATTTTCTGCTTCTTTTTCTTTTCATTCTATCTTCTAGTTTTTATCTGATCTATTTCATTGAATTTTTCTTGCAGGCGTCACTAGAGTAGAGATTATGAATAAAGATTATCACCATACAAAGATTTTCTTCAGCCGATAATGCTAATGAAATTAAAATGTCACAAACGCCATCATTTTCTAGATTTCCCTAGGAGAATATTTCGTAAAGAGGAGCTCTGAACTGGGAGCCAGTGGATCATGCCTGCAATCCTAGCTACTCAGGAGGCAGAGATCAGGAGGATTGCAGTTCAAAGCCAGCCTGGACAAATACTTCATGAGACCTATCTCAAAAAAACTCATCACAAAAAAGGGTTGATGGAGTGGCTCAAGATGTAGGCCCTGAGTTCAAACCAAGTACTGTAAGAAACAAAAAGAGTAGTCTTATCTGAGGGATTCTCCAGCCTCAGATGTCGCAGCAATGGTGAAGATGGTGGAGTGGCTGATAATACTTAGCAGGACCTTGTGAAGTGAAGCACTACTGAAGGAGAATGTGATCAGAAGAGTCCTTTTATATTTTGGAAGACTAGTTCTTAGGAGGATTGGATTACATGCAGTCAGGCTATGATAGAGTCAGTGGTAATAGACTCCCGAGCCCCAAGCTCAGTTGTGCTACTCCTTGCGGTAATTTGTCATCAGGGCCCTCACTGCTGCCTATGGACCTCCCAAACACACAGGCAGTGAACTGCACCAGATCTAGGCCATCCTGGCTGCCTAGCAGTGAGATTTATAAATTGTGCAGTTGGATTAGAAAACAGTATGACAGTTCTTCTAATAGTTAAGCCCAAGGTCCACATATAACCCAGCAATTCTAATCCTTGTTTTATATCCAAGAGAAATGAAAACATGCTGACAAAACTGTGTATACAAGCATTGTTAGTAGTGTTACTGGTAATAACTAAGAAGTGGAAGTAACCTAAATGCCCATCAACTGGTGAATGGATGAACAAATTGCATACAATGGAGCACTATTCATCAATAAAAAGAGATGGAAAATGGGTACAAGCTAAGGATGAATCCTGTGAATGTTATGATAAATTGGTCATAAAAAGCCACCTGTTGTTTGATTCCATTGATATGAAATGCTCAGAGTAGCTAAATCTAGGGATACAGGCAACAGATGAGTGATTTCTTAGGACTGGTCTTAAGGTTGGGGTGGGGAATAACTGCTAATGTGTGTGGAGTTACTTTTAGAAGTGACGGAATGTTTAAATTCCTGGTGGTGATAGTTGCCCAACACTGTGAATATACTAATAACCATTGTGTCACACACTTTAAAACATTTTAGTGAATTAAATCTCAATAAAACTGAAAACTACAATTACCAAAAAGCTCATTAAAAACTTCCAATTCACTCATCATCAAATAAATTAAAAAATAAAATTACCATGAGATTCACCTTTCATCAAATTGGAAATGCAAAGTGTGTGTGTGTGTGTGTGTGTTGACCTAGCTATTTAAAATAACCTTTGAAATATATTTATATAAAGTTTATCTTTCAAAATACAGCAGTGGAAAGTAGAAACACCCCATAGTCATTCAATGTACGTTTCATGACAATTCCTGGAAACCACGGAACTCCTTATCTAATTTGCTTTAACACCTTGAAATATTTACCATGACTCTGGTCTATACAACTATAAATACTGAGGCAAAGCTTTAGCATTATTAATCCTTTCCTGAAAATAATTTTGTTTTGCTGTAATCTTCATTACATATTTGCATATGCCAACCATTTAATGCCCCCCTAAACCTTATGCAGAGGTACTACTAAAATCTCTAGATTATAGTTGAGGAACCTGATAGAAATGTGAAGTAATTTTAATATTGAGTCTGGATTAAAGTTTGTTATTTGTGCACTATTCTCATATGTCCCTATACCCCTTTTTCCATGCTGTCTTCTGACATGAGCAAAACTTTACAAAAACACAACAACAACAACAAATTTCTTTTGTCTCAACTCTTCTTGCTAAGAATCTCTTAAAAAGTGCCAACTCTATTTTCTTTGTCTTACAAGCATTTTAAACAGTTCACAACTTGGGGCAAGCATAGAAGCCTGCAACTCTGTCACTGTGTGTTAAACCTATAAATCTTCAAATTATTGTAGCTTTGTCAGTCTGGAGGGGTGCAAATGTAGAATAATGATAAATTGATTACTCTTCGCTTTTGGTGGGGGGTAGGTACTGGGATTTGAACTCAGGGCCTCATACTTGCTAGGCAGGTGCTCTACCACTTGAGCCATGCCCTCAGCCTGCATTATTTCAAATCCCAGCTTAAACTTGAAAATTTTTTCCTCCAAATACATAATTTGTATAAATCCAAAGATGGAATCTAGGAAATAAAGACAGCTGTAAAGATTTCTCATACTGAAACACTATGTGCATCTTTTTCCTCCTCCTCTTTTGCCCTGGCCTCCTCTTCCCCTCTTCCCGCCTTCTCCTGCTTCTCTACTTGTAGTGCTGGCAATCAAACCCAGGGCTTCACGCATGTTAGGCAAGTGCTCTACCACCGAGCTTTACTCCCTAGTCTACCACATCTCCTTTCAGCAAAGCAGAATAGGGTAATTTAACAAAATGGAATTGCCTATTTCCTCTAATGAGTAAAATCTAAATACATTTAACTGGCCATTTCCCCCACATAGTCTCAAAATGAGATTATTAGTCAGTATCTGATGAAATACAGCAAGTAATTAGAATCATATCCCCTGAGTCTACATATGTTTAAATCAACAGAGATTTGTACAGTAAGGTACTGTAATTTTTTAATGATGATTTTGTGTTTCTCAGAGAAACAAAATAACATACTCCGAAGTATTCCATATGTAACCCTCAAATATAACACAAATACTAAGAATTATTCTCCAATATTAACAGTAATTCTCAATATTCAGTACCCATTAACAACCACTTAAACTCATATGCTTAGAGTTTTCTGTGCTCTTGCCATATTGGCATGGCAAGAAACTATGAGAATTCCTCTGTGGTATTTCTAATGCTTTAGGGTGTCCTAAACAATAGATTTGGGGAAAGCTTACAATTATGTGCCCTGATTATGTGACCGGGATTAAGCTCCGTGGAAGACAGCAATGGAATAAGCTTTTCATTTTAGGGATTTTTTAAGTTGGTTCTTGTTTTCTCACAGAAAGTTTTCAAAACCATGATGATTCATGGTAATCAAGAATTTCTTATTGGAGAGGTTAATTTTTACAGCTTTACTGCAATATAATTGGCATACATTAAGCTACCCATATATATACAGAGGCAACCTGATGAGTTTTGATGTATGTGTGCACCTGTGAAGCCATCATCACAATGAAAATAACATGATCATGGTCCTCATAGAAGATAAGTTTTAATATAATATTGTAACATTTTGGTGACTATTAGATCCCCCATTGCAGCTGCCATTAGGATGCCATATTTATTGTCTATTTAGTGAACACATTTTCTTGAATTTATTATCATCTTTTTAACATTAATGTACTAAGAGAACAAAAGATTAAGCTGAATCTGTGATTTTTATTTTAGTGTTTTTGAAGAGCACCTGAATGGCGCTGAAGTTGGCCTTTAACTCTACAAATGGACAAGTATGAAATCCTCCATGTGCATGCGATGATTCAGAGTACCACAAAGTCATAGCCACCTTTTCTAGAGAAGGGGCAGCAGATAAGCCTAGTCTTCTACCCGGTGAGTAGGAGTTAACCTTAGTTTTTCAAGGCACATCACTCTATAAACAATTTACGAACCAATAAACACAAGACTTTTGAAAGGATGGGCCTAAATGTGGTTATAATGGCAAGTCACCTCCCTCTCCTGTGAAGTATCTTCCATCTTATCAGAGAGAACAGCAAAGAAAGAAAGAAAAAGAGCAGCAAGATTCTTGTAATATCTAACTTCTCCAATAAAATACACTGTCCAGAAAGCTTGTAATTCTTGTGGCTTTTGGCAGCGTTTCTGAAAATAGACATAGTTGCTTTTGTCCTCCCTGCTAACAACCTATTTGCCTACAGGGCAGGTCCGGATGAAGTCTGGAAAAATTTATTTATTGAGTTTCTCCAGATAGCTCATTCCTGTACTCTCTTATTTTCAACCCCGTTCTGGAAACAGTTTTAAGGACGCCGGATTTAAGCTGGAGGCTACAGATTGTCTTGTCTCATTTGCCACCAACACCCTCTCTACTTTCCCTTCTCAAAGGATGTCCCCTCTGCAGCTCTACTCTGCTCATTCGCAGAACTGTGGCCCTGAGGTCTCCAGCTCCCTTCTTTGCCTTGGGTCCCAGGACCCTCTGGTTGAGGTTTAACTTCTTGGATTGGGAGGACGGCTGGGGGCTTGTAAGTACCTGCTGATCGTCTCCTTGCCTCCCTCTCCAAATGAAGGGAAGATTCCAGTGGATTTGACACATCCCTGAATCTGGGCCTGCCAGTAGCAGGTCGGGAGCTGACTTACGCTGGGGAGGACTTGGACGAAGCAGGCCTTTTCCACCTGCGTAATTACAGGCTTGGGAGTAGCGAGGCGGCAGCAGCAGCAGCGGCAGCCACGGGAGCAGGGGAGGAGCGCAGGCAGCGGCCTCGGCGGGCCCGGGAGGAGGAGGGGGAGGAGGAGGAGCTGAAGCGCAGAGAGCGGCAGGCAGCGGCTCGGCCCGACTTGCAGCAGCGGCGGCGGCGGCGGCGGCGGCGGTGCGGACACTCCGCAGCCTCCCGAGCCCCGAGTCCCGGCGGGGACAGCAGCAGGGAGCGCACGACCGGCCACCGCAAGTCGGCCCCACCGAGCAGCCGTCCCCGCGCGGGGAGACCGCCAGCTATGGCCACGCCGCGGGATCCGCAAGAAGAGCTGCTGTCCCTGGCCAGCCCCGGGTCCCAATGGTTCGGGGACCGGGGGGAGGGGGAGGATGGAGCGGTGACGCCGAAAGGGGCCAGGCCCGCGCCGCAGGCTGGGGAGCCCGGCCGGGGGTTGGGCCCCGGGGCTGGAGAAGCTGCGCCTCGGGAACCCGGCTCCGGCTCCGGCTCCGGCCCCGCCCGGCCGCCGCCCGTTGCCACGGAAACTGCATCCACAGGTAAGGCTGGCTGGCGGGAGCCGCTGCCCCGCTAATGGCGTCGGGCACCCGGGTCCCTGCCGCTCCTTTTCCCCACCGCAACCTTCCCGGTGCTCTCCGACTTGAGCACCCAGCTCCGTTTTTTCGCCACGGATGACTGGTAGAAACCAGCAATTTTATTTTATCCAAAGCTTGGAAGGAAGCAATGCTAGCGATGCTTTTCTTAATTTCATGATTATTCTTTTTCAGCTTTAAAAAATTGTTCTCATTGGCAAACTACAGCATCCTGGCTTCTGGTGCACCCCGGTACAAGTTTCTCCCTCTTGTCAGGGGACTCGGGGCTCGGGGCCGGTGTGACAGGTTGTGAAGGTTTTCTGGGGCGTGTTTGCGCGCAGCGTGCGCGCGGGCGACTGGAGACGCCAGCAACAAAGCGCGGGGCGAGCCCGCTGCCCCAGAACCTGGCTCGGTCCAGGGACAGTGATGTGGCTTTAACTCTCCTTTACCTGACCCTTCAGGAATTGCCACACCCTACTCCCTCCCAGGTTTCCTTTCCATCCTCCCCTCCCCCTCTCCCGCGCAGAACGCAAATCCCAAGGAGCGTGCGCCCAGTTCCTAGGAGGAACAGCGTTGCAAGCGGGTTGGGAGTTGTGGCTGCCCTTGCTCAGAGCCTTTCTTTCCTGGCTGCCCGGATACCCGCTTCGTGCCGGGAGCATTGAAACTTGGAGCCCTGAAATGGGGCCGTCCTGACTGCGGATTGGAGGATTTGGATGGTAGCGAGCGGACGAGGCACAGTTTACCAGCAGTCTGAGCCGGCCCTGGAATTTTTGGAAATTGCTCAGGGTTCGCCCTCTCTTTGCCTGATTCCTCCTTAGCAGCAGGAGCAGACCCGGCCTCGGACTTTGGGGAGGGGCTGCTAGCTTGTTAAGCGCTGTTTCCAGCTAGAGATGTAGGGGTGTTGTGTTCTGCTGTTCTCTGAGAAAGCTTTGCTATGGTGGAGTGGGAGTTGTGTAGTTTTGGCAAGGTAGCGCTAGAAGGCCTGGGTGGTGGGTGATCCCAGAGGAGGGGAAAAGGGGGAGGGACTGGCATCTGTGCTCTTGGCAGCTGACGTAGGAAAACCCTTTTCTTAAGCCACCCCGTCTGTTAAAGGTTATGTGAAGTGCCATAGGTTGTCCTAACTCTGCTCTAATAAAAAAGATTTGAGCTGGGAGGAAAGGTTTGGAAAACACGTTGAATAAAACTTGTCAATATTCTGAAGGAAAGTGAAGAAGTAGGAGCCATATATAAGTAAAAGGGGGAGGAGTAAGTGAAGAAAGAGAAGGAGGAGAAAAGGGTGAAAATAAAAACAAGAGAAAGACTAAACAGCTGAAAGCCCCATTTGTCATAGAGTATTATGGAGAGGGGGCAGGGATCTAAGACTAAGAACTCTTACCCAGCCTCTCTGTCAACTTCTGCATTTAAATGATCTGCAAAAGCCAAAGGCAAGTGAGAATAAATATAGAAGGTAGTTAGTGTCACTCGTATTCTTTGCGGAAGATAGCTCATAATTTAGAACCTTTTTCCATCATACTCAAAGTAAATGATGTCTTTGTAAATATTGTCTGCCTCCTGTTAGTGTCACCAAGGGAAGGTGAACTAAGGAAAAGAAGCTAAATATCCTGTGGTTAGTAACATACTATCTACTGCAATGAGTTATTTCATAGAAAATATATATACGGTATCATAAATATGATACAATGTGATCTTCTGGTGTAGTCTATATTGTACAATGATTAAATCAAGCTAAGCAACATCACTATTATCATTTTTTGTGGTGAAAATATCTAAATCTACTCTTAGCAATTTTGACATATACAATTCATTATCACAGAATGGTAACTAGAATAAATAACAATGCATTTCCCGCATTTAGCGTCATTCTTATAAAAATATTTTGCTTTGTTGAATGTTAGGAGTTTCCTATCCTAAATAACACATGCATTAATAAGCTCAAACATGATTCTAGGTTCAGGTGGGAGGAGAATGAAGGGAGGGGGAAGGAGCAAATGTCTTGCAGATTATGTAGAAATGTTTTCATTCATTATTGCTACTTGATGCAATAATGCATGTAGTTGTTTACTGGTTAATGTTTTAAATGTGTAAATTTCTTAATAAGTCGACTGGACACACTGCTATATGATACCTAGATGCTGTTAATGACAGCCAATAAGGAACCAGGTCTGGAAAAACCCCAATCAAATCTAGGCCAGCTTCCTTGTCTGTTATTTTGGCATTTCTATTGCTGTAAGCAAAGTCTACAGATGAATTCTCAACTGTATCAGAAGAGAAGCCACTGGAAGAGTGGCTCAAGTGGTAGAGTGCCTGCCTAGTAATTGCAAGACTGAGTTCAAGCCCCAGTACCACCAAAAAACCAAAAAAATCACAAATCAACTGTATCACAGACAAAAATAGAAAGGAAGCCTATTTGCACATTGCTTTACTTTACATTTTAATTTTGTTTTATAAATAGAAATTAATTTTCTCACAGTTCAGAGGTTGGGAAGTCTAAATTCAAGGTGTCAGCAGATTTGGTGTCTGGTGGGTTGGCTTTCTGGCTCATAGATGGTCAGTCACCTTTTTCTGTGACTTCACATGGCAGAAAGCTGTGTTGGGACTCATCTCCAACTAAAAGTAACTTAGACTGAATGAGAAGCACTGTAAGTTTCAGATGGAATATTAAAAAAAAAAGACAGATATTGATGTTTTAAAAACTTTTCTGAAAAACATCACCAATCATGCCATCTGGACAGAAATTCTGTTATTTATTTTTATATATTGATGGTAATTAAAGTTCCCAAAGAAATATTTCCAAAAATATTTTCCAATAATATCCTGGAATGAATATATGTTTCAGCATCATTAAAGCTACACTATATAAGTCCATTATCACTGTCTTTTCAGGTATTCTCATTGCTGTGTCCATTTTGTGGCATGGAAACATCCTCAACAAAGAGTAACACTGTCTTCTTGAGCTGCAAGTTTTTCAGTCTTTGGCCAAAGAACATTGATGACACCATGTGTAGGCTACAACATGTTAGAGTTGTTAATCATGAAACTGTGCCATCATCTAATAGCTTTATACAAAGGATATTAAGAACAACTGCTTTGTTTCTCTCATGATCAGTTATTTTATTCCTGGAAACTATTCAAAAGGAGCATATGATAACAAAAGGATAGAAGAATGGTGCTTTGTTTAAAGAAAGAATTTAAAATAGAACATTTGAACAAAATGAAATGGTAAGAAGTTAACTCATTGATGGCTTCATGAATGGAAAGCAAAAGGAAGAACAGGATGGAGACTGGTCAGGGGAAATCAGTTTAATGTAATTTGCTTCAGTAATATTGACAAAATAATTTGACTTAAATTTCTAGATAATTGCAAAAAAAGAAAAGTTTTTTTCCAATTTATATTACTTGGACCACAAAGCTCATAAATTTTTATTTTTCAAGTGCTAAATGTAACACTCTATTGGAAGAAGTATTCTTAGTCTCTCATGATTTGAATAACATTGAGAATATTTTATTATATCCTTTGTTTATTCTGCTTATACAATCATCTAGAGAACTGTAAAGCATTATTGATCATTATCTTCATCTGGAGACTTAATTGACTTTCTTCACTTTTGACTATCAAACACTGGATGTGTTTAATAGATGTATGCACATTTTTTATTTGGAGTTCTTTCCAGTAATCCTCTTTAGAAAGTGTAAATTCCAACCTTCTGTTTTCTTTCCTCTTTTGAGAAAGCTACAGTTTTATTGACGTGGGAAGGGCCTCTCTACTTTGCTTTTACAATCTTTTGAAGAACATATAAGAATAAAGGGTTTAGAAGGCTAATGCAATTTATTTATTTGGACATAGCCTCTGGACATAATCAGTAATATTTCTAGCAGTCAAGTGTAGTGCATGTCCCTTAATAGAGAATTCAAATTAAGTTAAATTAAAATTTAGAAACACATGCTTTAAAAATACATTGAAAATGGATATTAGGGCTATCAGCCTGACTTTCCCTTCATGAACTTTCTGTTCCAGGAAACCCACCTTACTCATTGCACTGCAAATGCACCATAAGCTTTCCTGCCCTCATCTCTTCTGTAGGTTGGTTATGGAATTCTAATTCTGAGAGTTTTTTGGCAAGTGGTTGATTATCTCGCCCATTATACTGTCTATTCTGTGTAGATGGATTGCAGAAAGTTTTTATTATCTGTAAAATAAGAAATCATTATGGTTCAATTCAACTTAGTAAACATTTATTCAGTGACTTATTGGTGTACAGATCTTTGCTAACTACAGGTCATGGGTTTCTAGAACACATGCACCTTTCTGTTTAACATTAGAATTTAGTTAAGTCAAACATTTCCTTTTGTGTCAGTTTTCATTTTCCTCATTCCCAAGTCATTGCTGGAAAACTGACTAAAAAGGCATTATAATTATCCAACCCCACATGCACACGGGCACGAGTTAGTTTTGTGAGATCAACTCAGGATAAATAAATATGAGCACAGCTTTCAAAGACTACATAGCTGTGGAAAATAAATGTATTTGTCTTCCCTTCTCTCTTTTTATCTCATTCTTTCTTCTTCAAAGAACTGGATGAATATTATTCCAAGATCTTCGGCTTTGTTAATTGGGATTTAATTTTATAATTAAAGCAAACTATTTTAGCAGTGACAAAGGGAGCTTTTAAAAAGGTACTGGAAAATTTTAGAAGGTAATGAAAATAAAAGACATATTTCAAGAAACTAGCAATATATCTACACATTAATGCTCATTGTAAAGAGCATGGTCAGAAAAATGAAAGACAAGTCTTATTGATTTAAATACTGTTTGAGGACAAAGAGAACAATGAGAAGCCCATGAACTAGAGAGTCCACTGTTTGTGGAAGATGAGAAAAGAGGGAAGTGTGTGAGAAAAGAAGGAAGAGCTTCTTGATCTATATTTGATCTGTATGATTTTATATGGACAGGTTAGAAAAGCTAAAAC